TTGAGCCCCGTGTCAGGCTCCCTGCTCAGTCTTTCCCTCTGCTGCTCCCCCTGCTTGTGATCTCTTGCTCGCTCGCTCGCTCTCTTGCTCTCTCCCAAATAAATAAATAAAATCTTTTAAAAAGTACACAAGAGAAAACATGGATGACTTTGAGTATGGTGATGACATTTTAGATACAACACCAAAGGCATGATCCATGAAAGAAATAATTGATAAGCTAGACTTCATTAAAACTAAAAAGCTCTGCAAAAGACAATCCCAGGGGGAATGAGAAGACAAGCCAGATTGAGAGAAAATATTTGCAAAAGACACATCTGACAAAGGGCTGTTACCCAAAATATACAAAGAACTCTTAAAACTCAACAATAAGAAACAACCCAATTAAAAAATGGGCCAAAGACCTAACAAACACCTCATCAGAAAAGATATACAGATGGCAAATAAACATATGAAAAGGTGTTCTACATCATATGTCATCAGGGAAATGAAAATTAAAATAAGATACATGCCTATCAGAATGGCCAAAATCCCGAACACTGACCACACCAAATGCTAGTGAGGATGTGGTGCAACAGGGACTCTCATTCATTGCTGGTGGGAATGTGAAATGGTACAGTTACTTTGGAAGACAATTTGGGTTTTTTTGTTTCGTTTTGTTTTGTTTTACAAAACTAAACAATCTGGGGCGCCTAGCTGACACAGTCTGTAGAGCATGCAACTCTTGATCTTGGGGTCATGAGTTCGAGTCCCATACTGGGCACAGAACCTACTTAAAAAAAACAAACAAACTAAACTAAACATAATCTTATTATATCATCCAGCAATTACATTCCTTGGTATTTATCCAAAGAAGATGCAAACTTATGTTCACATACAAACCTTCACCCAGATATTTATACCAGTTTTATTCACAACTGTCAGAACTTGTAAGCAACTAAGACGTCCTTTAGTAGGTGAATGTATAAATAAACTGTGGTACATTCAGTCGATGGAATATTATTCAGCATTAAAAAGACATGGGCTATTAAGCCATGAGAAGAGAGAGAGAAACCTTAAATGCATATTACTAAGTGAAAGAAGCCAATCTGAAAAGGCTACAACCTGTATTATTCCAACTATGTAACATTCTGGAAAAGGCAAAACTATGGAGACAGTAGATCAATGGCTGTCAGGAGTTGCGGGGGGAGGGGAAGGGATGAATAAACTGAATAAACAAAAGCACAGACTTTCAGGGCAGTTAAAATACTGATACCATAATGACAGACACATGTCGTTATACATTTGTCCAAACCCACAGGATGTGCAGGACCAAAAGTGAGCCCTAAAGTAAATGATGGACTCTGGTTGATTACGATGTGTCAGTGTAGGTTCATCAATTGTAACAAATGTTTTAATGTTGATACTGGGGGAGGCCCTGCATATGTAGGGGCAGGGGTATATGAGAAATCTGTACTTTCTCTTCAACTTGGCTGTGAACCTCAAACTGCTCTGAAAAAAATAAAGTCTTTTTTTTTTTTTTTAAATAAGAGTTCTTTGAAAGAGAAATGGGTGGGTCTCATACTACCCATCCTATTCAAAATTCTTCAGGGGTTCCCCACTGCTCCCAGAAAAACCCAATTCCTTTCAGTGGCCTACATAAGGCTCTGTGTGGCCAGCCTTCCTGGCTCCCCCTCTCACATCCCTGTCCCTCCCCACCTGTCCACCAAGCTCCTGCTGCACCAAAGCACTCTTTCCCTACTCAGGCCTCTAGTCCCTCTACTCCAGTGATCTTTCATCTCACTCACAAACCTGGCCTCACAAAGGGCCTCCCTGAGCTGACAGCTTGCAGTCCCTCGGCCCCTCCTCCCTGTCATGTCACCTGGTGTACATCCTTCATATTCTCATCACAAACTTTAGTCCTTTTATTTGCTAAGCAGTTTGATCATCACTCATGAAAATATAAGCAACAAATGTAAACCCTAGTACCCTAACAATATCTTTGGCACAGAGTAGATATTCAGTAAAGATTTGTTGAAAGAATAATGAAATGTTAACTTCAGGTCTTACTGCAGAGAATATTCTCAATCCAGTCTTTAAAATCAATAATGCTTCCTTGGTCACAAATATTTCCATTAAAAAGACAAAACACCACTCTGCAATATTCTTCTTCTAGTCAGGATGCTTCTCCCCCAGTGGTTTCTACCATCAACCCCCTATACCTGCAAGGGGGTCAGCTGATCTTCATGCTGACTGACAGCACCCTAATGCCATCTTGGTGGGCAGTTTTTCAAAATTGGAACAAGGACATCACTACATAGTCTAAGTCATTCACTTAGTACTACAGGAACCATGAGTTGCCAGAGCACTCTTCAACTCAAATGGTTTAAGGATTGTCTCCAAAATCTCTAGGAAGACAATTAGTATCCTGGTTATACAATCTATTTTTAAAGTCTGGCTACAACACCTATCATTCTTTTTTTTTTTTTTTTAAAGATGTTATTTATTTATTTGACACAGAGAGAGAAAGAGAGAGAGCACAAGGAAGGGGAGCAGCAAGCAGAGGGAGAAGCAGGCCTCCCGCCAAGCAAGGAGCCTGATGCGGGGCTCAATCCCAGGACCCTAGGATCATGACCCAAGCCGAAGGCAGGCGCTTAACTTACTGAGCTACCCAGGTGTCCCACATCTATCATTCTTTTAAGTGTTAAAATCTCGCGGCTGAGCAAAATGAGACTGAAGAAGTCATTTATCTTCCAGATGAAATTCTGTCAATTCCCTGCTGCCATACCTGTTGGCTGGCTAGCCAGATGAAAGCATGGAAGGAGAACATTTTTTAAAAAATGGTCTGGGGGCACCTGGGTGGCAGTCAGTTAATCATCCGACCCTTGATTGCGGCTCGGGTCATGATCTTGGGGTGGTGAGATTGAGCCCCGTGTTGGGCTCTGGGCTCAGCGTGGAGTCTACTTGAGACTCTCTCTCCTTTGCCCCTCCCCTGCACTCTCCCTCTCCCTCAAATCAATAAATAAATCTTTAGAAAAACAAATGGTCTGTATCTAGCTTGATGCCAGGCCACTCTTCCTTCCACACTCCTGCCGAAATGGGCTTCCTGCCACAGTCCCTGAACATGCTATGACCTGTATGTCTTTGCAAAGACCCCCTCCCCCCCCACACACACACTGTAAGAACTAGTTCTCCCCTGGGAAACTTTGGCAGACTCCCTCTGACACTTAGTTGGTCTTTCTCTGCTTTCAGAGAACATTCAGCACCTCATTATCACACAGCAGCCTATCATTTGTTTTTTAGCTTCTCTAATGGACTCTTTGTAGTCTTCACCCATATCCTTCTAGTCTATATTTCTTGTGGTGCTTCCAAAGACCAACAGTGTATGGTACAATCAGCACTCAGCAACTATTTGTTAAATTAAGCTCTCAAAACACTATGCCAGGATTCCCCAAGGATGACAACCCAAAATATAAGCCACTCTACCTCAGTTACATCCACCATTATGCAAAAATTCACTGGTCTAAGCCCAGGCCCAAATAATATATTCATTTAAACTGCACACTTTGAACAATTGCTCACTTCTACCTCAGCAGTTTGCAGACTACTCCCTCCTTATTCTACCAAGCTCCTTGTGCTTTGCTGTATCTAGAAATCTCTCCATGCTTGACCCCAAAGCTTGTATTCATTATATGTATAACTGTTACCTGATCTTTCCAAGTTCAATCAACTGCTCTTCCTGATGCTGTTTCCTTTTTTCCCCAAGTTCCAGTAGCCATTTTGTCCAAACTATACAGAAGCCACATATATATATCTATATATATATATATACACACACACACATATATAATAGCCTTCCTCAAACTTCTAAGTGTTACCTTTCTAGGAGAAAACTGGAAAACAAATCCGGTAGAAGTCAATCTTCTATTGAAAAAGACAATGTGTCTACAAAATAACTTAAACCTAAGAAAGCTACTTGCTAGTCACCCCTTCAGAAGGACTATCCTTATCCCATCTTCCCCACCACAGTCTCAACGCCAGTCCTGAAAACTCAGGTAGAACATCCCCTATACCTGCACAGGCTGGTTCTCCGATTAGAAAGCTCCCTGAGGGCAGGGACTGGGACCACAGCATCCCTAGAACCCGGTATGTGGCTGACATACAAGAGACTCCAAATAATCCCTGGTGAATGAACGAACATGGGATGTATCAAAAAACCCTTAAGGTCAGAGGCTTATCAAGGTGCACTTTGCTAGTGTGAGAGAGTACAAAAAGCCTTGAAGCTCAGAAGACCAGGAGACAATGGCGACTACAAGATACATGGCTTTACTCCCAGATTCTGCCCATGCTGGGTTTACAAGAAGGGAGTCAACCCCAAGTGCAACTCCTCACTCCAGCAGATAAAGTAAGTGTGCGCCCAGGCTGGGACCCCACATTCTGCCAACAGATGGAAAGGAAGGAACAGAACAGAGTAAGATTCCTGAGTCTCAGCGAGAAAGTGAGGAAGAACAAAGAGCGGGGAAGAGAAGTGGAAGTAGGGCATGTGGGTGACTGCAATAGGGGCTACTCCTCACTGAAACCTATCAGGTGCCAGTCGCCGTGCTCAGCACTTTACAGCACTGACCCATTTGATCCTCCCACCAACACAGAGGCAGAAACCATTATCATCTCCTTGTACCGATGATGAAACCGCAGCGCAGCGAGGTGGTACCACTCGCCGCGAGCACACAGCTAGGAAGGGGCAAGCGCTGTGACCCGAATCCGGGTCTGACTCCAGGGTACTCCGCTGGTACCTATTCTGCGTCCCAGGCCCTAACGCAGCACTGAGGGAGGAGTCCTTCACTTATCCATTTAACGAACACCTCCTGAGCACCTACTGGGTACGTGCCAAGGTCTGTGCCAGCAGCGGGTGCGCGGAGGAAGGGACCGGACTGGCAGGGTCGGGGGACGCAACGCAAAGTCAAGCATGAGACGCCGGCGCTTGGAGCCGCGGGGGCCGAGGGCCGAGGGAGGAGAGCAGAGGGATGAGGGCCGAGGGTGCGGCGGAGGGGAGGGAGCGCGCGCAGTGGGAGGAGCGAGGGCCGGGGGATGGCGTCGCGGGCCAGCGGGGCCGAGGACGCGTGGGCGACCACCGCCGCCCTCGGCCGCCCGCGGGCTTCTGCCAGGCACCTCAGGGCTCTGGCATTCGGGCTCGGCCAGCCGGCGCGGGCGACGCGGGGGCTGGGAACGGGGGCGAGACGGGCGGTGCGACCCTGAGGCGCCGAGGTCAGGGAAGGGCGGCCCGGGGGAGATGTGAGCGGCGGCAGGGAGGCCGGGAAAGGGGCGCGGGCCGGACGGCGGGGGCAGCGGGGCCGA